TGAGTGAGGACTCCATGATAATTGGTATTCACGTAGGTACAATGTGGACACTTAAAGACATGCACACGTGTTTGGGTTTGCACTTGCTCTTCCTGTTGTTCATCTACATTTTCAGCTAAAGCGTCTTGGTGTTTCATTCCACAGTGAGTGTTGAGCCCACGCTGGGTAGGAAACCTTGCAGGGCAGTAAACACACTTAAACGTAGTGGGAGATGCTGTTGCTTCATGAGATGAACCAGGGGAATTTTCAAATTCAAGAGGCGCTTGGTAGGTGTCAAAGGGCAAAGGCAATTCATTGTGGTCTTGCACCTGCCTGTTTGCACTCGGCTTCTTGCTGTTAAGGATGTCCAGGACTGAGCCGTCTTCTTTCACAGACCAAGGATGAACGGCGCGGTAGTGGCATGCGATGTCTGATTTCGAGCTTCCTTTAAACGAACATGCTCTGCACGAATACATCTTGGTTTCGTTTTGCCCAGATCTTTGAGCTCGTAAGCTGGCATCAGTGTCATCGCTGTCACTACCACGGTCAGTGTGCTTTATTTGAGGTTTCTTCTTTTTAGGAGGGCTTGCATCAGGACCGACATACAACCGAGAAGTAACATACTGAAGGCTTGGTCTACGTCCTGGGTGTTGTTCCTGGTAGTGATTATACACAGCTGCTGCTTTTTTGTGAGAGAAAACACACAAATCGCAGTGATACCCTGTCTGTAAAGTTCCTCGTTTAAAACACACTTTTAAAACCTCGGTGACTGAGCGATTGGCCTTGTGGATTTTCCACATGTGTCTCCTTAAAAGATACACATATTGAGTGCTGTATGGACATCTATGGCAATGAAGGGTCCTCTGTGTTTGTGAGGCAGAAACTTTGACATGCTTTTTTCTTTTGTCTTGTTCATCATCTTTTTCCCCAAGGGATGCTTGACTGACTTCTTGGTTTGCAGTCGTCTGTGTCTGGTTGAGAACCATATTAGTATACAGACGGACTTGTTCACCCGTAACCATGAATCCACGGTGTATTTTGAAGTAATGTCGAAGTACCTCATACACAGTTCTGTGTCTATAGTTGCAAAAGTGGCAGAAAAATGCAGGTCCATCACTCTCATTCATAAGAGGAAGAGGTAGATTCGTAGAAAAAGATAACTCCTTTGCTTGAGATTTAGATTTTTCGATTTGATCGCGAACTGACGCTGTATGTTCAATAATGCAATCCCTGCTGGAATTAATGCTTTGGTGAACTTTGGCTTGATGGCTCAATACTCCGATTACAGATGGATTTCCATAGTTGCACTTTTGGCAGTAAAATAAGTTTTCTGCACATGCATAAGCATTAAATCCCATCGCCGAAGAATCTGCTGCCTCAATATCTTTATGCTGAAGTTCTTTTTCACTACGTACCTCAACTTGTTTGCTAGTTTTAGAATCAGAAGCTGCAGCTCTTCTTGAGGCTTTAGCTTCTCTTTGAAGTTTCTTTTTCTGCACCTTAGCACTGTGACACAAGATCTCTTCAATATCGGTTGGTTCCTGCTCAGCGTGTTTTGAGTTATGATGACTAACGACACTTTTAATGTTGGTACTTGAGTAACCGCAAAACTGGCAGTAAAACAATTTATTTGTTGAACTGCCAGATAAACCGTCCATTACAGCAGACATTTCCCTAATACGTTTGGTAGACCTCTTCATTTGTTTCCTTTTGTCTTCAGAAACTTCCACTTTCTTTCCTTCTGTTTTTGTAGACTCTGAACGAGTCTTAGAAGCTTCTTGTGTGACCTTAGGATTTCTCAATGACAATGAAATCTTTTGCTGGGAAAGATCAGCTTGGTTTCTTGTCCTCTCATGAGGACCGAATGTGTTTTTTTGAGATGTAGATTTTTCTATTGTTGTCACAGAATCTGGGGACTTTTCAGGCATCATCTGCGATGTTGTGACACGTGCTGACTGCTTAATTTTGTCTATTGTGACCGCTTCATCTGGGTGACTTTTTTGGTAGTGGACATGCATAACTACAACTGACTTGTGACTAAAGTTGCACTTGTTGCAATCATACAATGCCCCTTCGGCTCTTTTGGAGCTGGGATGTTGGGGTGGGGGTGCATTTTTGACTTCCTTACTCGGTTCACACGCACTCTCAAGACCTTGTGGTCTTTCTGGACTGGGCGCTTTTTCACATGTGTTCGACTGTGATGGTTCCTCTTGGCAGCTAGTCACCGAATATCTGTAGTACATCAAGGAATTGTCCACTTTGTGTGTTGGGTGTGTTTGCTTGTAATGTTTTATCAAGGTCTTCAATGCAGTTGTGGTAAATTGACAGACAAAACATTTGAAAAGCAAACGGAGTTCAGATGATTGCATCGTGAATACATTTGGGGCCTCTGGATGATTTTCCATATAGTGTCTCTTGAGGTCAGCTACACTGAAAAACTCAACTGGACACTCCAGGCAACGAAAGGTAGCACTCTGATCACTCGGCTCCTGAATGTAAACGGTTTTATATCTTACGTAAGGGTGGTTGTTCTGATAATGAGTTGACAAAAGTGTGATGCTAACATCGGTGTAGTCACAGTGCTTACAAAAATAAATTTTTGGGCTTTTCATGTCTCCATTAACAAGATTCGCCTTCTTTTCTTCTTCGTCTTCACTAAATTCAAATGAAAACTCTGTGTTACTTGATGATTGTTGTTGTCGTTTGCTTGCATCGGCTTCCTCTCTTCTCTTTGCCTCTTCCTTTGCTTTTTTAGCAGGAGGTCCTTTTGAGCTCTCATTATTGGTCCTCTTGCCAACATTGTTAGGAACTGTTCCTTCAAATTGTTCCTCGGGCTTTGGCGCTCGCAGGTCACTGACTAGAAGTTGGTCACTTAGCAAAAAACGGTCAGATTTACATCCGGAGATATCTATCGTGGGCTTGGCAGTGACTTTAAACACACCACTACTGTTTGGGCTGGAGTCTGGAGGAGATTCTTGCAAAACCAGGGTTTCTTTGGCGCTATCTAGAAGCACTGTGCTGTCAGCTAACTTCACTGGGGATTTCCCAGTTGATCCAGAGGATGACACAAAGTACTTTGTGATGGTTTGCAATGGCCTCTTGTATGTTTTCACATCCTTTGAGGAGTTAAGTGTGCATTTAGTTTTTGAGGTAGACGTAACTGAAAGAGTGGAGGAAATCTCTCGTGCTCCAGCAGCTTCCTTGAGCTGGTCCGTCGAAGGATTTTTGGTGTCCGGGTTTTCAGAACTGATTCGATTTCCTATCACGTTCTGATCCTCTGTTTTGTTTTTACAGTGTTCGTCATGTTCATTTAAAACGTCCCGACTGCAAGCTTTAAAATCACAGCGCTGGCATTCAAAATGATCTCCTGAACTGCTGCTTATGTTGTCGGTGCTGGCTTTGGTAGTCCCAGCATTTTTTAAACCAGCATCTCTGAGAGCCACATCTACATCAAAGCCATGCACCTTGTTGAGGTGTTCAAAAAGGTAGACCTTGGATTTGAAGGTAAGTGTACAGTGACTACACTGGAAAGACTTCAAGGGTTCTTGAGTTTGAGCTTGATTGCATATCACGTGGCCAGAGGTGGAAATTGAATCTGAGGGGGTAAATAACAGATAATGATGACTACTTAATATGATATAATGATGCACTTCATTGAAACAACACTCAACAGTGTCAGAAATATTGACTGTAATAAATACCTTTTTGCATCTTGCTTTCCTCTCTAAACCCAGAGCCTTACATATAAAAGACACAGCTGTGACACACCTGGAAGCAGGTTAAAAACATACATTATTGCATCGTACAAGGCACAAGAGCAGCGCCATATATTTGGTTCCTACTTTGTTACCACAGTTAAAGTTTAGTGCACTACTGAGGGTTTCTACTGAGGACTTCAAAATTACACACCAACAGCAACAGGTGGCAGTAAGCTGAAAAAAACTTGGGTATTTATCAGTCGTTCAACAGGAAGGAAAGGGAAAACGAGCTCAGTCCCACTATTAACTAAACTGACACGAACTCTCTCAACAACACAAGCGAAGAAAAAGTGGACGAACACAACTCAGTAAAATATTCAGTGCTATCATGTACTCACGCGTGCAGACAAACTTGAGGTTGAGGCTTAAGAAGCAACGCTTTCAATAGCTGATGTTGTTAACGTGCAGAAACCACACATTTCCGCCATTTTTCGCGCGAGTGCAACTCCATCTGGCTTGTGCTTCCGCTCCAACGAGACATCAATGGGTTTCAGCTACCGCTTCACTTCCGGCGAGACTCACCGTAACCTTCAAAATAAAGTTATAATTTCAGAACTTTAATGCATAGCTTCTTTGGGTCTGTGCTGTGATGTGTTTTTCAGAATTATATAGACCAGAGCAAAAAACATTTTCCCTTAAATTAAAACATGACATATTAACGGTGCATTTTTACTTTGTAATAATGTAATAATTAAATAATAAAAAGGGTCTTATTTTTTAAACGACATTATGAAAAGAATACAGAAAACATCAAACAATACAAAAAGTATTTACGTATTGTTTTTTGTTATTGTTATATGGCGGAGAATAATTTTATCATCCATACTATCAAGCTAAATTGGTGCATCTCATGTTTTAATTAAGATTAGGTGTTCGGCCATGCTTTAATTGTGAAATCAGAGACAGATATGACCGGAAGTACTTAGTCTTCGCTTTGTGGCTCATTATTAGTCTAAAGAAACGCTTCCCCTTTTTTTCAAATCCTCTCATTTGAGGTTTGTTTAATAATGTTTCATTTTCTCCCATGTGACACAATATATTCACAATACATTTTTGTACATTAGATTGGATATATGAGGCACATTTGATAGCGAAACTTTAATAACAGTCCAGGAAAACATCAATATTTATTTTATCCTCGTTTCTGTTCTGTTCTGACAAGTGATAATCCGCCTTTATAAACCCAGGTGGATTAAATAACCTCCAGGAACATCACAGCAATCACCCCAAAGAGAAAATGTGGCTGTATGTATCGATGTTGGCATTTCCTGTCGCGACTGTCGTGAGTTCCGAGTACTGACATTTCCTCCGGAGCAATATATCGGTCGTACCATAACAGGAAACAGCAGAGCAGCAGTGTCAGTGGCTGGTCTCCTTTGAAAGTGATATTTTCTCTACTTCAGTGTAAGTCTGTCTCATTACTGAGTTATCATTATATATTCAGTATTAAGTGAATGACAACACGTGTTATCAGCCTCAGTATGACTGTATCTAGCTACAAGCTAACTTAGTGATCAGACTTCCTGCTGCAGCTACACGCACAAACAGTCTGACACATGAGATCAGTCTCTGTGCAGCTGGTTCACTCCAGCACAAAAGGAATGCCTGTTGCAGCAAATCAGTCCTCCTCTGTGTGAAAGCCTTTGACAAACCATTGTGTGTCTTTATTTGTGTGTTCAGGGGTGACGTTTTCTGAGGAGAAAAAAAACTAATAATGTCAGTCTGACCTCAGAGGAACACGATGCTCTCAGCCAAGCTGACTCTGAATGTCCTGAACCGGATTCACCATGGATCTTCCTACCCCTGTCTTTACTCCCTGTCAAACTGCCTCCTTCACATGGAAGGACGGAGGACTACAGATGGTCTTCAGTCAGACTCCAGTATGCTGAGGAGAGGGTTTTACAGCCAGAGTGCAATCCGCCCATCACTCAGACTACGGGAAACACAGCACTATGGGAGAAGATCTTTCAGTCTGTCAGCTGCTACAATTGTGAATGCAGCTCCAGCACCTGTCCGGCCATATCTCCGGTTGATGAGGCTGGACAAGCCTATTGGTTTGTACATTCATCTGTAATGCAAATCACATGCTTCTGTGTATGTTTATACAATTATTCAGAGAGGAACTGTTACTGTATAGGGACCTAATTTAAATATTAGCCTGTATATTTTTTAAAAACAGTGTCCGGATTGGTTCATCATTAGTTTTAGCCGAAGTTTGGAATATTGGTAAATCTGCCTTTTTGGGATCTTTTGAGAGTAATTAACACAGTTGTGTAATAAAGAACTTTATAAGAATATAATAGTGTATTAAAACACTAAATGACCTTGAGATCTAAACTTCTGTGCATCCCAAAACAAAACAAAATAGAAAAATTCGATCTACATCTCTACATCTGCAGCTTGGAATTTAACTGAAAGGTCTGGGCAACCTAAAATAAAAACACAAAGCTTGGACACAAAGGGCGTACTACACAGGGGAGCTTGATGCACTTTTCAGAAAGCTTTTGTGCCAACACCAGGCAAGCTGCTGAGAATAAACGTAAGAGCCCCTCAGCAGTAGTCAAACACTTTCCCCACCAGACCACAGTTTAAACTTTCAGAGACTCACTGTCTCTATCGGCTTGGCCTTCATGTCTTCATAGCTTTGTTTAATCTCCTGTTTATGGTGTGTCTCTGTATTGTAGGAACATGGTTGTTGTATCTCCCGTGTACATGGAGCATTGCTCTGGCTTCTGACCCCGGATGTCTCCCACATCTGGGCATGCTCACCCTGTTTGGTACAGGTGCTCTGCTGATGAGAGGAGCGGGCTGCACCATCAATGACATGTGGGACAGAGACTTTGACAAAAAGGTATATGAAAGAATATGTAGCCATTCACACATCCAGGTGGCTTTTGTCATTAAAAATGCCCTAAAGTAAAATTTATTATGATAACTCCCAAATAACCTAAGCCCATATTTGATTTGACTTTTCCCTGTCAGCTCCATTTATTATCAACTGGATATTTCCATAACAATCTCAATTTCTTAATTGCTGTTTTTAATAATGTGTTTTATTTTATAGAGGTCTTTTCTGATCACACGTGGATAATTATAAATACAGTTTTTAGGAAGCCGTAATACTCTATGTTGATGGTTTATAGCTGTGCCTTTTACTTCACTCACAGTCACTAACACCCTCCTTACTACTATAATACAGCAAGAAGTAAGCATTCCTATCTTGATTTCTGCACTGACTGATTGAAAGTGATGTTTTGGTGCAGGTTTCCAGGACGGCCACTCGACCCATTGCGTCAGGAGAGATTTCTAGGATGCAGGCACTGGTCTTCCTAGGAGGGCAGCTCTCTCTGGCACTTGGGGTTCTCTTGTGTCTCAACTATTACAGGTATCCAGTGATCCTCTTCTTTTCATTAGATCTGTTGGACAACAGACAAGATGGAACAAATAACCAAGAGTGTAGGTCAGACAAAAAACACTGTCTTTGGACTTCATTTCTTGTGCTGTCGCATAGTTAAAGCTTGCAATATAAAGGTAATGTTGCCTTATTTGAAGGTTTATAACTCCCTTTGTTGGCCATGAAGAGATCCCTTCTTAATGCACTTTCAGTGTAAGTGATGAGGCGCAAAATCCAGAGTCCTCTTTCCATGCAAAAATGCATTTTAAAGTTTATCCGTAGTTAATATGAGGCTCTAGCTGTCTGAGTTAGACAAATCAAGTCAATATCTTCCAAAGTTACTCTCTTTTTGGTGCAAAATGCCCTCTTTTTTTACTATCTTTCCACTGCAACTCAACACAGAAACACTGTCCAGAGAAACACAAAGAGGTCATTTTGTACTAAAAAGACTGCACCTTTAAAGACACTCACTTGATTGTCCAACTCAGACTGACCAGTATCAGTATGAACAGGTCGAATGATAACAAGGACAACCTCTCTTATTGTACAAACTGTTGTTTTAAGACAGACTTCAAAAAATGTAGCAGTGAATCTATGTTATAATGCAGACTTGCAAAGTTGTTTATATATTTAAAGGCTTGATGCTGTTTGGCTCACAGTTTTCATAATGCTCTTCACAGTATAGTTTTGGGTGCTGCGTCATTATCACTTGTCATCACCTACCCGCTGATGAAGAGGATCACTTACTGGCCACAGTTTATGTTGGGTATGTACAGTATAAGATTATCCTGAGGTGTTCTACATCTAAAGATAATACTTCTTTTAATCAGCTGAAGTTGGTCTTACGTTCCTTACGCTGCTTCTGATTAGGCCTCACCTTCAACTGGGGAGCGCTGCTCGGCTGGTCCGCTGTCAAAGGCTCCTGTGATTGGTCCGTGTGCCTCCCGCTGTATTTCTCAGGAGTGATGTGGACGCTGATATATGACACAATATATGCACATCAGGTGAAGTACAGCGCTGCACAAAATACCACAGTTCCTTCTCTATGCTTCCTATAAAGCATCTGACATGTCGGGTCATTTTCGCTTACGTTTAGTAAAGAAGTTCATATAATTTGGTTGAAATATACAATGGAAATCATTTTCTATCCAGTTTTTATATTTTATATTCAACTTATCCAATTATCCATTTTACTCAGCACACAGCTCCAGCATTCAAACTAGAGGTCAGTGCAGTTAAGGACAATCACAGTCAATCTCATAATCTTCACTCATTATTAAAAAAAGCTATTTTTATTCAGCCAAATACAACAAAAGTCTGAGTGGTTATTTAAAAATTTACAGTCAATTTTATTATCATGATAATCTAGAATAAATGGATTTGGATATGCAGCAAATGGATACTAACTAACAAAGAGAGAGAGAGAGCACCAAATTTACAGTAGTATTACACTTATGTAGCTGTATTGTTTGACTCAGTAATAGTAAGATTACATATTGGGTCAATTTGGGATGATAAGCAATTGAGAATATACTGTATTTAAATAAAAACCTTCCAAAACAGCGTAAAAGTAAGTAAAGACTTAATTCGTTCAGGACTGTGGTCTCTACCAAATTGGATACACAATAAACACATATTTATTTATTTTTTCTAAATGGTTTCTTTGAAATCTTTGTTTTTTTTATCTTAAAGGCAAACTCTTGTCTTAATATATACCTAGACTTTGGTTAAAATATCTCATTGTGTCTTTAAATACGACACATTCATGTGATCTCAATTGAAAAAGCCAAATACCAGGCATCCCTGGTAGATCTCCTGGTAGAGCTGGCGCCCCATGTATCTAGGCTGAGTCCTTGCTGCGGTGGCCATGGGCGACTCTGAGCTGTGGACCTTTTGCTGCGTGTAATCCCCTCCTGTCACTCTACAGTTATAACTATCCATTAAATGCAAAACAAAAGCCAAATACCATCAGATGTGTATTATGAATAAGAAAAGAACAATGGTGAAACTGAAACATGACTATGTACTAAATTAGGTATGGTAATCAAAACTGTTCCTTAAACCTAAAACGATTTCTATCTAAGGATTGTAGACCACTGATTACGATTGTTTCTTGGACTTTCAGCCACTCTGGTGGATGGAAGCAGGATAATACTGACTGAGACCTCTGTTCTTTCTTTGATAACAAGGATAAGGAGGACGATGTCAAAGTTGGAGTCAAATCTACGGCCCTGAGGTTCCAGGAGCAAACCAAACCTTGGCTGAGTGGCTTCACGGTAGCCATGATGTCGGGACTTGTTGCAGCCGGGGTCAATGCTGAGCAGACTCTCCCTTACTATGCTGTACTGTCCACAGTGGCCCTTCACCTAACATATCAGGTGAGGAACACGTTGTACAGTGTAGTCTAAATGATCACCGCCAAAGGGTTATTTATTACAGTGCAGAGTTTCATTCCATTGTGAGATAATATTCAACTAAAGTGAACTGGTGGTGTAAATGTGTAAATTATAACATCAGGTCCTCTCAGTTGTCCTAAACAAACATGAGTCTCAAACATGGGTTTTGATATTTGCTCTCCTCTCTTTTAGATTTACACATTGGACATTAACAAACCAGAGGACTGCTGGAAGAAATTTGTCTCAAACAGAAACCTTGGACTGTTGTTATTTTTAGGCATTGTTGCTGGCAATTTGTGGAAAGAAAGAAGAGACACTTTGCTGCAAAATGAGGAAGCTTTCAGATAAGTGAGATAACAATCAGTGCAAATATTGTTTTATTACATTTACAGTACATCACATACTGCAACACAACAAGTATATTTTGGGATATTTAAAGCTCTGTGAGACTGCAAAAGAGTTTATTGGATGCATTTTCTTTTCTTTGTTGGTTTATAAATTCACTTGGATATTGTTGAAATTAAATTGATAAATGTGTATCAGATCTCGAGTGGTTGCACACAAACACACAGAAATCAGCAACATTCAGTCACAATAAACACGCCTAATTGGGGAAATTTAACATATTGTTGTAATTGTTGTTGAATACGCCTCAAAGCCACATTAAGCAATTTCTACCACTAGGGAGCAGAAAGATGCCCAAACAACATCCACCTTTAAAGCATCTTCTGGTGTTTTTTTGTCCACCAACTGTTGGGAAAAATATCTGGCTCTTAACTTTCTTCATGAGTCACTGGTTTACTTCAGCTCTCAGGCTGCTAACGTACACTTGCCATGTCTGAGCTTGTCTGCAGGAAACTGCTTATTATTGTAATCACACTCTGAAAACGAGGAACAAAACAAAAATCTTACGCTCTATTGTGACTTTTAATGCTCGGAGCATGGTACACAAGACGGAAGGTTGTTTGTAATATGCACACCGATGGGAAGCTGGTCGAGGTTGCTTCTCTTTCAGTTAGCATCTTGCGTGCCTTTGTTCTCATTGTTGGCGTCCAGGTGGGCAACAGTGCCTTAGTTTAAGCAATCAGGTCAAGGTTCATTCAGTCAAAGGTTACAGTGTACAGGATTCAGCATGATCAAACATAAAGGAAATTAACATGATTACATGTGCGTGATGAAACACAATTAATTTCATAGAAGCGGTTGGTGAGTCATCACGATTAACCAGGCTGCTTTCACAACCATAATAATGTGATGAAAGAGGCTTAAAGCTATACACACTGCTGGTTCAGTGATATGTCTCACATTACATTGTGGCAATGGCATCTGACATTGCTTGTCTACCACCTAGTTTTATGATTACAAGTACACGATCAGGTGCATCCCTATCAAAGCCAATAATCAAGAATGTAATTTAATGCAAGTTTAAATTGTAAAAGTCATATTCAGTTTAGGGCAGTGTAGAACAGCCCTGCCCCAAATTTTACCCCCGAAGTCCAGTTCATTTCGCAATAGTGGTGGCTGAAACATACAGAAATAAAGTATAATTTCCAGTTACATTCTCTAAGGCTGCTCAAGACAAGGGATAATTTAAAATTTGAAAATGATCCACCGCTATTCTGTAGATAAAGCAGCTTTTTGTTGTACAGTAGTTACTCATTTTTCATAGCAAAACAGTTGAGAGTGATATAAAGTTCCAGTTCCAGTTCATATATTTTAATGAGTAGTAAGTAATAAGTAATAAGTAATAAGTACAAGCTTGATATATTGGAGAGGAGCTATATATCTCAAATACATAGGCAGGGGAGTGTGTTCGCATGACTACATTACTAAACTGTGTTGAGTTTTAAAAGGATAAAGAGCAGAATAATATTACAAAGTGGAAACAGACCTATGTATGTTGTCGACAAAAGTCTCAAACCAGACATATTTCTTAATTCTACTGCTATAACAATACAAGCAACAATCATTTGAGTGTTTATCCAGCTTAAACAAGTGTATGTTTTCCTCCATGTAGATGAAAGTCTTCGGCGCAGGTGACCGTGTATGTGATAATCTGCTTTCACTGTTGCAGCCCAGGTCAAAATTCCCACAAAGTGACCTAAATGCAAACCATGCCACCACAGTGAAAACCCAAAAGTCATGAACAATGGGAAACGCTTGCACCTCATATAAATCAGTCTACGCAGCCATGAAGCTGTTGTCGTGTTCCATCGGCGGGCAAACTCTGAAATGCGACTCGAGGCCTCGGTGGTCCAGAAATCTCCGTCAGATAGTCTGCTCCAGTCTGGTGAGCATCCTGGGGCATTTTCCCAAAAACCAAACCCAGCTGCGTTATTGAGACATTCACTGATCCTCCAGTGAGAATAATATTGCATCCTCAAAACCACCGCCATACCCCAAACCCACAGGATGCCATAGAAAAAAATGGAGTTGTAGGGATCATAGATGTTGTGTTTCAGAAAATAGACAAGACAATACCTTAAACACTCCAGCAACAGCACCTGTATCAGCTTTAGGAAGACCACACCCTGTGGATTAGGTGGAGGGTTGAGTCTTATTCCCGCCATTAGGGACACGAATCGACTGTAGGAGCACAAAGGGCCACCAAGCAGTGTGGTGAAATTGAGGGTGTAGCTGATAAGAGGGAGAAGCATCACACATGCCTTCCTTTTGGATGAAGCATTAAATGTTAGCATAACTCGTTTCTCCTGGAGGTCCATGGACACTGAGGTGATTCTCTGAGTGAGTAGCATCAAAGAGGACATAGCCAAAAACAATCTGAAAGAGCAAGAGTTGTTCGTCTGATCACATATGAATATCTGCATGCTTTTTTCAGGTTTTAAGCATCTAATAACGTAGGTTCAAAGTTCGTCCTTAACAGTTTCACCTTAAGGTTTATTTAGTAACCGTTCTGGAGCTTTTGATCATATCACAAAATTGATTCTTAGAGGCAGCAGCTAACGATTTCTGACAAAAAGTGAACATGGATGAGGTGTCTTAGAAAGAAAGCCTCAGTTCTATAGCAATTGAGTTAACTCACTCTGCTGATGATAACAGTGTGATGTGGTCGAAAGCTCCAGGACAGCTCCTAAATGGACCCTCAGGCGAGACTGTTTTGTCAGATTCAATATCATTGTAAAAGGGAATCCATTTTGAGCAAATACTTTAGCACTTAATTATATATCTCTGTGCTGTGTACTCTTCATCTATGCATCTTAAGCACTATTCTATTTTTTTGTCTTTGTCAACAAATCCAATGAAAAGACCAAAACCAGCAATATGTTTATCCGTCTCAGTAGTTTCAGATTTCCAGAGCTCGTCTGTGGCTTATTACTGAAGACATTTAAAAATGTGTAGAAATTATAATTAAATTTTTTTAAAAGGCAAAACTATTTTATCAAACATCTGGGTACTGTAGGTTTTGAAAACAAAATAAAACATGAAGTCGTGCATTTTGTGTGCTTGTAATAAAAATAAAACTAAACTACAGTCCCAATGTTCATTATAACAAAGGATCACCTAGTGAGTGCATTATGTTTTTTTTTTTATTATACCAGGTGATACTTGTTAGTAGGATCAATTCATTGAGGCTTTTGGTCTTTTCATGGGATTTTTTGACAATGATAAAAATACACAATATCACCAGACTTATCCTTTAAATACAAATTACTAATAGCTTAGCTGATCATTCATAATTTATATAAGGATGAAGGTGTCAGCTAACATAACGCCGAACTCATTTAAAATGAATACCTGATGCAGACAGGCTCATGCAGGTAGTATTCCCTGTACTGTATAAGCAGGTGCCAGAAGGTTTGCCACAACATCTGGATACTAAAGGCCCAGATGTGGACACTGCTGGGATCCACAGAGCACACGAGCAGAATAAAGACAAAGGTGGAGGTGAACAGAAGTGCGCTGTAGATCCCCATTGTGACGACTGCCAGGACACATCCTCCAATAGCGACAAACAGGTACCTGTACACAGAAATCTGTGTTAACGACTAGAGCTGCAATGATTTGCTGATAAACTGGTTAGTCAATGGATGGGAAAACTCTGTTAACTAAGCAAAAATGGCCAAGATTCTCCGGTTGCAGCTTCTCCAATGTCATGATTGGCTGGTTTTGTCTTTCTTTATATCATTGTGAACTGAATATTGGACTGGGTTTTAGACTGGTTAGACAAAACAAGACATAAGACCAAACAATTAAATTAAAACTAAACTAAATTAAACGATTAATCAGGGAAATGGTCTGCAGATTAATTGATGAATGAAAATAATCGCTAGCTACACTACACTTCACTTCCTGACTGATTAGGATTTCTCAAGTCATTTTATTTAAAGAATACATTTAAACCAAAATATTTACAGTTTTACAGAGAAGTTCAGAATACAATTAGATAAATAAAATACTAACAAATGAATATGAAATAAAAATAAATATGTACAAGACTGTCTGTAGTGTTGTGTCCCCGGTTAAAAAACTCTTATGTTATGTTCCAGTTGGTCTGATTATTTCATACAGGGTCACATTTACAAATCAAACTTCATTAAACTACTAAAATACAAACTGATATTATTAAAATATGGGTTCACTGAAATTTTTTAAATGCGACTGATTTTAGTGCATTAAGACTCCCACAGTAACAGTTCCTTGTATACTAATTAATTGCTTGACACATAAATGTGGTTTAGTATATAATAAGATTAATAAATCAATTTAAAATTACATACCTGTACGTTAAGGACAGAAAACCCAGTTTGGCAAGAAAATAAAACAAAAATGCGAATGGAAGTAAAAAGTATTGGTGCATTAAAAACTGATGATGTTCCCACAACCAGTTCATCGAACCCATATCTGAGTCTCTATCGAGGCCACTGATAGCTGACGTTTGGTGCCGATTGTCCTAATAAAGAGCTAAAATATTTGTTTTACCTGCACTGGCTGTCTTTGCCATTCCACCTGTGGCTTGCAATAAAGTAGTTCCTTTTGTTTACCACTATCACACAGTACTGATAATGGTTATTCCCTTTGTTTGACATTATCAATAATGTGTGGGATACAGAGGATTTTTGTTAGTCCATATTTCAGCAACTATAGCAACCAAAATAAGTCCGTTTTTTTTTATTTCACAAAATCAAACATGTAGCAACTCAGGAAGTCTTTATTGCAAGGAACCAACAGTAGTGGTTTATTTGTGTAACACTTTCCAAAACAACAATGAATGTTAGCCAACAGTTAACTCATTCAATTGATACTAAAATATAAATACAAAGTCAAAATGAGAAGTAATACAAATGTGAGCAAGCTTTTTGCCCAGATTACTAAAAATAAAGATTAACCACTCTTTCAACCTGCTGACTCAAGGTTATATTTGCATCTCTTTGCAAACTGCCAGATTTATACTGGCAGACAGACAACCAAATGTATGATACATCTATTCAAATAGTGTCAGAGCCACAGCATGCTGGTCTTAATTCAGTGACCCAACAATGTTTGAGTTGAGAGGAACTTGAATAAATGTACTTTTTACACCAGGTTTTACCTTTTATATATATGCCAATTTCAGAATAAGAATCAGAATCAGAATTGTTTAGAGTGATAATAAGTTCAAAACAGAACCTTACTTAATACTTTAATATGAATTATTTTATTTTACTAATTATAATGTAATATAAAAGTACTAGTGTGTCTTTGTAGCATTAGATATGTTAGGTACTGGCCTGGTTTGGTTAAAACATGTTTTGTTCTCTTCATAAATTCTTAATGTCTGACTCACGTTCGGAGGCAGCTGAAGCCCAATAACTGCCAACTGCATATTATCACTTGAGCCAGCACAAACAAACTCTGAGAGAAAATATAATGTACTTTACTGGAACTGTAGGTGGTTGCACAAGGTCCTGGTGAAGAACAAAATATCTACTTTTGTTTGATTGGTAGCTGCAGTGTTGAGTATACAGTAATAATAGGGGCACTGAAACCACACATTTATAATGAGTCATGGTCCCTCATTCAGTGTGCCTGATTATTAATGAAACACCAACACTGCACAATTTCTTATCCTATAATTCAACTTTATTTAATATCAAATAACATGAGTTGAAGAAATCTCTTATTAAAAAATGTCTAAGAGTATACAGCCAAGTCATGTCTCTGTGAGGCTGTGTTAGACGTGTGATCCTCTGAGCCGAATGCTAACATCATCATGCTAAATGCTAATTTGTATTAAACACAAAGTACAGCTAAATTGTCTTGTTGTAGGTATTTAGTCATAAACTGGAGCATTTAACAGTAGTATTTGACCTGATGACACATTTCACAGCAATCCATCCAAACACTGTTGAGATATTTCACTCAGAACCACGAATGTGAACCTCATGGTGGTGCTAGAGACAAAGCCAGTGAATCTCCAAAGTCATTAGGATTCTTCCTCTGGGAATCAAGAACGTCTGTACAAAATTTCTTAGCAATCGATAAAACGGTTGTTGAAATATTTCAGTCTGGACCAGAGTGATGGACTGGCCGACCGACATTATCATTCAGAGAGCAGCGCCGCTAGCATGACCCTTCTCTTATAGCGTGAGTGTATGTATGCAGTGGGTCTTCTATTACTTGTTTCTGTACATGTTGTCTCACATGTGTGTTAACTTAACGGTCTGTGTCAGTGAAGATGATGTTTGTAAATGCTGTTTATTCATTTGCTGTTGTTGTGTTTGATAAGTTTGGTCAATGTTCGTCTGTTTTTACTATATTTTTTACCCAGCAGGATGTCTAATCTGTGCTGCTGCGACAACGCAATTGCCACACAAGGATTATTTGTTTCATCTAATTTAATACACTGTGGGCCAAATTAACCTCAAATACTTTTTTTTAATATATATTTTTGGGGGTTTATTGCCTTTATTTGATAGAAAGCTGAAGGTTGACAGGAAAAGGGGGGAGAGAGGGGGAATGCTACACAGCAAAGGGCCACAGGTCGGATTCGAACCCCTGGCTGCTGCAGCAAGGACTCAGCCTTTGATACAAATACTTTTTTGTGATTCATTTGTGATCACATTTATGATGACACATGTTTAGACGTATGTGTTTCTCATCACCACATTATTTTATGTGCTTAACTGCTGCAGAAAAAGTAGTTGCTACTTGATGAAAGCTACAGCACTCTATCAACATGTGACAGTGGCATTTAACCTGTTCTGACATATTGAGTTTAGAAAAGGAATATTACTCTCCTAGATATTGCCTCTACTAGCAAATGTATTATATATGTATTTTGGAGTAGTTTATTTGTTGAAATGCAGCTCTTTGTCCTTATCTGCTAGAGAAACTATTTCACTGGCTCCTTTACTTTAGTACAGACTTTACAGCATTAGGTTAGTTTGATAAAATCAGCTGTGTTGACATGGTCTTCCACTGTTGCTAATGGTGCATTTACTTTCCCTCTGTAGCCTGTTTTGGACACATGCCTCCCTTACCCCAGAATGCGGACGTGGCTTCAGTGATTGGATCCAAATGCATCCATCCTAAATGCACCTTGGCTGGTTAAACCTGTTTTCAGAGCTGTCCACTCACCCATGATGCATTTCTAAATATGAACAGCGTCAACATGTTTTTTTTTAATAAATAACGAAAGTACAACCACAGGTCCAATCTCTTCTCACAGACTTGAAGACTTTGATGCGTGATAAGTCCACAAGCAGTTGGTCTCCTTTGAAAGTAGCATTTGCTTTTTTGAGCTCTTTATACACACTCAGGAAGCAGTAAAGGATAATAAGAACAGGTAAAAGACTCACCAGCAATTATACTGTGTAGTTTGTCCTCATGATAACATTAGAATGATATCAAGGCATGTTTTTATCTAATACATTACTGTTTTCTTTGTAAAATAAGAATGAACAAACACCAATGTCTCCTTTACTGGCAACTGGGTCAGGGCTGGATCAGGGACGGGTGGCATAAAGATCCCTGGCCACCCCAGTTTGTTATGAAATGCTGTCAAATTTAACACATTCATTTAGATTCATTCTAAAAATTACAAATTAAATTAGGGATCTTTTGTGGCCACATTTTGTGATAGGCTTAAGTTAAATGGAAAGAAAAGACATGTATTCGTAAAAATGTCTTAAGATTTGCAAATAAAACAATTTCTGGATTTCTAACACATATTTCTATTCAGTGCTGCAACAAAGCTTTTGAGTCGGGGGACTTTCCCTTGCAAACATATGTGATTTTTTGCAATTAAATCAGCCTATGTGTCTGCCACCCCTTAAAGTCTCCATGCCACCCTCACCCCACCCCATGAATATCCCTCTAGATCCGCCCCTGCAGACTCTGTGTGACCGTCCCATTTCCCCCACTATCTCTAGGCACACCTTGCCGTCTACCTCCGTGAGCTCTCGGTGTTCAGCTCGGACTCTGAGCCCTTGTTCCTGCAAACCTCCTCGCATCTGCTTTCTCTCCCTCTCGCTCGGTGGACGGGTGGGCACGTGAGAAAGTTTAGCAGCTGTTTGACCTGGGCTCCTCACAGCGTCACGCAGCATCCCCCGCCCTGATTGGTCCGCTCTTGTGCAACCGGGCAGTTGTATAAACTCTGCAGTTTTTGAAGGAGTTGGCAGAGTCTCCTGCGGGGATCGCATCAGTCTTTCAGTTGGGGGGAAACTCAGCTGCCGAGCGAGGGGAGGACGAGGCGTCACCAAGTTTTTTTTTTTTTTTTTGCAGACTTGTCTTGCAAAGTGATTTAGAGATGCAGAGCTGCGCCAGGTCCTGGGGGATCTTCTTGGCCAAGTCGGTGAATCCCAGCGCGCCGTGCAGGCATCTGAGTGACAAGAGCCGCGTGGTTTGGAAACTTCAGTGCAGGATCCGAAACAGCGGGGCATCCCCGACGACAGCAGCCCGGGGTCTGAGGACGTCCGCAGCCGTCTCCTCCAGGCAGATAGAGAGGATATTACCCAGGCATGATGATTTCGCGGAGAGGCACATCGGTCCAGGTGAGAGGGAGAAGAGAGAAATGCTGGATGCTCTGGGACTCGAGGTAAGATTTGCCCGCAAAAATAAACTGGGCGCAGTGATTTAAACACGTTGAAAACATTCCCTCTGTGCACTGTATTGATATCATTTCACATTCACAGTCCTGTTCTGCGCGCTTTTATTCATTAAAATGCTTTATTTACACCCCCCGACAGTCGATCGACCAGTTGATCGAAGACACAGTCCCAGGATCCATCCGTATGCAGAGGAGTATGAAAATGGATGATCCAGTCTGTAAGTTTTTAACCTTCATTTAAATGCCTTTTATTGATACAACAACCCCATTATGTGGCATTCACATCCCTAAAGCTGAAAGGCTGCATGTATCAGCCTCGGTGCAATAGCGCCCAAACCACGATTTAAAAAAAAAAAAAAAAAGGCCAATATTTTTTCAAACACATGTAAAAAAACATTGCATTTTTAATCTCACTCGTCTTCTGCTATTTTGCACGGTGGGGTTTTATTTTTTTTTCTCCCCCTCCAGCATGAAGCGGGCGTGAAATGAAGCCAAGTGAGTGGCTGAAATGTAGGTTGCACCTCTATTGTGTGCCGTGGAGCGCTCTCCCCTGTTAAGTCTTCCTTTGAACATATTTGGAGTTGTTTTTGCGAAACTCGGCGAGCGGCACCAATCTCCTGTTGGGAAGCCGATGCTCATAGGATGGCAACTGGAGTGTAAAGTTTAGCCTTGAGCTCCGGTCCCAAGTCCAGTTCAATCTGGTTACAGCGTTCACATTACATCACAGCCGAGGGGGTTCCTAATAAGGTGACTTGGGTATGTTTTGCATGGGATTTGCCTGGATGTGGGTTTTTTTCTTTCTACCCATGCAACATGCGTACATTTCAGTACTAGATACTTAGTCTTTCCTGTTAAAACCAGTTGGTTTTGGCTTAGAAATAGCCTACCATAGACTAAGGAAGGGTGGTTTTATCAGAGGGGATTTCCAGCAAACAATGGAAGAGATAGGGCAGTGAATGAAATAAAATCAGCTACAGTAGATGCCCTCTGTCCCCTAGTGAAAGCTGCATAAATGATGACTGACCACATAAACAAGATGTGTTTCCTGATGCATATATATTTCTGTTTGGAGGGAGGCTTATATTAATTTGTTGAACTGTTGCTGTTGTTATCCCATCACGGTTTTGAGTGTGCAGATGTTTAAAATTTTAAAGAATACAAGAAGACTGGGCAGCAAATCAATAAGTGTATACGATCAATAATGATAAACATCTTTTCTGGTATCTCATGATATCACAGAAATCTCCAGGATCACATTTGAAACAATTACACTGATGTTTAATGTGATGAAATCGGTTCTGTTCTTATTGATTATGAGACAAAACTCTTCAAATCTGCAGTAATTTAGTTTGTTCATTTTTAGTCTCAGTTGGCTTGAAATCAGCAGAATTTTGTAAATCAGCAAAAATAATTAGTGCAGCAACTAACTGTTACAATCCGAGGAATATTTCTAGCAATTAATTTAACCATTTGGGATCATAAACTTCAGAAATATTGAAAGAAGCCTGTCACAATTTCCTAAAGAAGCCCAAGAAGTTGATTGCAGATAGCTTGTCTTGTCTAATTAATAGTCCAAAACCCAAATGTATTCAATTTACTATCTCATAGGACAAAGAAAAGAGCAATTGGTCTCACAAGTGAGGAACTGAAACTTGGGAATGTTTGACCCTTTTTGGCGCAAAAAAAATGATTAATCAATTCTCAAAATTGATTCATTTTATGTTCATGTCACAATGATATTATTGAAAGTTTATAAACTCTAATATTGATTTTATAACCCAACACTAGCTTTGACTTTCTTACGCATTTTATTTTTAGTTGAAGGTGTGCTGAGACACCTTGTGTGCGACTGTGCACAATAAATAAATGTTGACACGACGCTAATGTATTATTCTGAAACTATGAACTTGAATCATTGATTTGACAGCAGAAATAATTTGAGACAAAATAAGACAGCTTTAACATCAGAGATCCACTGGAAAAAGGATTGCTGTTAGAGTAAGTCAGAAATCCTCAGGTACTTTGGCTCCTCCATATCACCTAGTCATTCTGATCCACCCTCGTGTCGGCCCCTCCTCTGACTCTGTCAGGTCTCATAATGCAACAAGCCATGCTGAAGGAACAAACTGGAGGCCGTGCTGGTTTTCTGCTTGTTCAGCTTTGGAGGGCTTCAGTTTGCAAAGCCAGTGAGGGATTCTCTCTTTAACAATAGACCTCCTGGATGGTTCTGAATCAGGCTTTTTTGCTGCCCTGTAGAACTCCGGGACCATGGGAAAGCAGTCCTCCCTTCTGAAACAAACACACACACACACACACACACACACACACACACACACACAAGAAGAAGACACGTAACAGCTCACCCGGAATCTGTTGATAATCCTTAGTCACTAAATTTTTATTTTCTGTAGTGAATTTGGCGGATTCACCACCTCCAAACACTTTCACAAAGTTGAATGTGCACCGTTTAGCCTTTGGAAGAAGCTGTAAATATCCTCTTGTATACTGGCTACGATCCGTCTCTTAAAGGTGTCTTTCTTTTCCGAAAACAGGAGTAGTTAGGGCTCTCGGTTCAGACGGCGGTATTGTCCATTCCTTGGAGTTGCTAGGCAGCCAGGAAGGCCAGAGGAATCTCAGAGGCTGGTTGTGTATTGGCAGAGCTTCCTTACAGCAGCGGAGAATGAGGCTAAATGACTGGCCATTGGGAAAGAAACCATTGTGTAGTACTTGATATTTGCTTGTGAGATGGACAAATGTTTTTATATTTGCATTGTCTTCTCAAGTTCATTTGTAAGGTGTTTTTTCCTTGCAATATTTAGTTTACAGTATATACCTTTTTAAAAAGGGCCTAATTAGTTTGTGGGCTGTGTGTGGCAGCTCTAAGTGATCACATGCCACACTGCTCTCTTTATCTTATTAGTTATACAGCCAATTCCTCACATGAGAGACATGATGCTCTTCATCTGATTTTTTTTTTTTTTTTGGCACAGTTGCCGTTTGACATTATTGCTAATTTATTGTTCTGTGTCAGACAGGAATGCAAACTTTAAACGGTGTAGTTGTTTTACGTGTGATTCTACATTATAACTAGGGGTTGGTGATGTACAATAACATTAAGTCAGAAACTGTTATGTCTGCCACCGCTTGTGACTTTGATAAATGTCCTGAATTTTCTAATTAGGTTGAGACCAAAAGTCCAAATCATAATCCCAAATTAATAATTTACAGGTGAGAATGAGATTCTGGAGTCTCTGCAGAAGATCGCATCAATGAACAAAGTATGGAGGTCCTACATCGGCATGGGCTACTACAACTGCTCTGTACCGCCGCCCATCCAGCGCAATCTCCTGGAGAACTCAGGCTGGTGAGTGCACTCACATGATCCTCACTCGATAAGAAAGCTGATGAATATTTGAAAGTGCAGTGAGCTTGTTTCCTCTCTGAGCATGACAGATCACTAATGATGTTTGTGTAATGTAATGAGGATGCAGTAACGTGCCCTTAATAGGAAGTCCTGTGATTTGAGGTTACTTCACTTGTGAGATGTGACAATGCTTTCTGCTGAGACAAGATTTTCTTTCACTCAAATCCAAATAAACCATCCTTGCCTGCATTTTCTTCAAAATTTGGAGTCGGGGGAGTCGTACAATGCATTTCACTGTCCCGTCGCGGTTCCTTAAATACCACCAACTTTGCACTATTGTCCTTGTGTCCAAACTCGCTCTGTTGATTCTTTGTGTCTGTCTTGTCCTCAGGGTGACTCAGTACACTCCCTACCAGCCCGAGGTCGCTCAGGGTCGCCTGGAGTCTCTCCTCAACTACCAGACTATGATCTGTGACATCACAGGCATGCCTGTAGCCAACGCCTCCCTGCTTGATGAAGGAACGGCTGCTGCTGAGGCCATGCAGCTCTGCCACAGGTATTTACAAGCTGATCGACTCTAGATCACAAGAACACAAGCAGTGATGTGGAGAACCGTCCTTGCTGCTCAGATTGTGATGTGAAAAGGAATCTAACCACGAGTTAAAGATAATTACTGTTGCACTTTGTGAAGAAATCGCATCATAGTCACAGGAAGAAGCTAAGCAAATAATGCATTTTCGACACATAAACATATTTATGTTTTCAAAAGCAACTTGTACGTATTGGATGCAGCAAAAGAAAAAGCTTAAATTGTACCAGTGACCAGTTACATTCAGGTCTCTGTGTTTCCTTAAAGTGGATATAGCAAAATACCCCTGTTATGCTAGAAGACACGTGTGCTATGAAAAAGACTGTAATTCAAGATCTAATTTGTTTGTTGCCTTACAGGCCTGAGTTACAGCGTTTTGTGTTTACTTCTCACAGACAGAACAAAAGAAGAACCTTCTACATTGACCCACGCTGCCATCCCCAGACCATTGCTGTGGTGCAGACCAGAGCCAAGTATGTATTATATCCACACAATTAATGTATGAGATGTTAAAAACGTGGTTATCTACATCAATAAATCTTTTTATTGCATTAATTAGCTCTTTTATGATATGAAAACAATGTATAATTTTATACAGAAATCACTGTGTCTCTTCTCAAAGTACCCTCTAAGTTTTTACTGTTATGTTGCAGCTACATTGGGGTGCAAACCGTGCTGAAGCTGCCTCATGAGATGGACTTCAGTGGGAAGGATGTGAGTGGTGTCCTCTTCCAGTATCCAGACACTGATGGCAGGGTGGAAGACTTCACAGCTCTTGTAGACCGGGCACACAAGGGAGGGGTAAGAGAGCTTTCAGGCTACTGTACAGGTTGACAATGACGAGCAAAACTAATAGTTTGAATATTTTTAACCTTGAATCATCAGAAACTATGTAATCATAATATTGTAATTTAATCTAGTTTTTATTTAGTTTGTATTTGCTTTATCACAGTCTCCACCTGTATGAAAGGTGCTATACAAATAATTTGATTGACTGATAATAAACTGAATTGGTGTTTTGCACATATGCTGTGATTTGTCACTTTTTGTGGGAGTGTCCATATATGATATGTAAATTAATTAGCAAGGTGTCTCAAGGAAACAATTGCATGACCCATTTCACAGCTGATCCAGTAAAAGTTTTATGCTGATGACGCTGTAGTATTTCTACATAGAAGAATTGGCTTTGTGCATAAACCGCTATCAAGATTTGGTTCGGCTTGGACCATTGTTTTACAGGAAGTGCTCAAATCTGACATATATGTGATGTAACTGCAAACCAACAGGTAAAGATTAGTTGTCTTGCTATGATTGCCTCAATTATACACTGGTTCTTTTCCGGTCAAGGCGCTGGCTTGCTGCGCCACAGATCTGTTGGCCCTTTGCGTGCTGCGTCCTCCTGGGGAGTTTGGCGTTGATATTGCACTGGGCAGCTCCCAGAGGTTTGGGGTTCCTCTCTGCTATGGTGGTCCTCACGCTGCCTTCTTCGCTGTTAAAGACAACCTGATCCGGATGATGCCTGGCAGAATGGTTGGAGTCACCAGGTGAGACACAACACTCACTGCTCAGAAAAACTAACAGATTTTATTTCATGAGAGGGAAGCTTAGTGTACATTTTAGAAAATGACAGGGCGTCATTATAAAACCAATGAAGGAAACTCAAAAGTTCCTTTGGGAACAGTTTAAAAAAGATATATTTACATTTTAGGGATGCAGCTGGTAAGGAGGTGTATCGGCTTGCTTTGCAGACCAGAGAGCAGCACATTCGCAGAGACAAAGCAACCAGCAACATCTGCACTGCTCAGGTATGACCAGGTTCGCATTTAGTTTCCACATATGAATAAACAAAGTGAAGCAGGAGAAGTTAAATAATTTAGAACAAACATGGGAGACTGTGTGTTTTTGCTTATTTGTAGCTGCTGTCAATCAATGAGCTGATGTGGAAGAATGTGTAGCAAGAATGTCTTTTTTTGTCTTTTAGTTAAATTTGACCAAATATAATATAATTATAATAAAGTTTTCATCCTTGGTGTTCAACCTCTGACTCCCAGGCTCTGCTAGCCAACATGGCTGCCATGTATGCACTGTATCACGGTCCTCAGGGACTCAAACACATCGCTGAGAGGACACACAATGCTGCTCTGATCCTTGCTGAAGGTAATTTTTATTTATTTTTTTAACTTGAAATCAAGCTTTTATTGTTGCAGCACCAGGATCATTTTCTGGATGTAATCATCTCTGGCAATTTGTGAAACTTGTTTGCAACAGAAGTGTGAGATGAGTAATTTTTCCCCGATTTTGTCCACGTCCCATCAATCCAAGATGCTACATGAAAGAAACAGATTAACAAATAAACAGTGTGATTTTGACAATGCCCTTAATTTTGAGGTGATATTTCACCATCAAGTTTTCTCAACATCAGTCAATGACTACATCTGACACATTGTGGACGAAGGATCCAATTAAGGACTGGTCAGAGACCAATATTTCATCATGCATAATGGGGAAGATGCAAAAAACTTATTTTCTTATCTGGTTCCACCCTCTATAAATAAATAAACACACATTTATTCAATGTACTGTATGTAATTATCCTCTTTGTTTCAGGTCTGAAGAGAGCAGGACACCGGCTGCACAGCGAGATGTTCTTCGACACTCTAAAGATCAACTGCAGCGTGGCTGCCAAGGACATCTTTGAGAGAGCCTCTCAGAGGCAGATAAATCTTAGAGTCTACACCGAGGGAGTGGTGAGAACTAATCATGTTCTTTGAAACCTTCTTCACATGAACAGGTGGTTTGGCAACTTTTAAACAAACAAAACATTTATAACATCCTGGGGTGTAACAATGTTTTGCAATGTTTTGCCATTGCTGCCACAATGGGAAAGATTACCTCAAAGTACAGCCGTTAAGTTAAATAACAAAGTTGCAAATTGCTAATCACAAACATATATACATAAATCAAGGATTTTTGAATTAATAAAAAGTTAAACTAAATATTAATAACCCACTTTCAAACAATGCTTGAGTAATTTTATTTTAAAACAAATCCCGAATGCTTTGGGAAATGGTTGTATTATTATTGGTATGCTCTTGTTTTTTTGTTTTTTTTACAGTCAACAAGTTAGAGACAGCTCTTTCTTTACTAATAGACTACTTTGTTAAAAGAAGTTTTATTACATGGCATGTAAAACCAAACATCAGTGGCATTTACTCAGAATGCCTTCGGCTTCCACTGTAATTTTCAAACCAACCCACCCTAATTGTGTTTTTTTGGCATCTCCTGTTCAAACAAGCCAATGTTTAAACTGAATTAAACTGTACTTGATCTACTTGAGTCAACCTGATGATCTACAATGCCAGATGCTATGTTTTCATCCCTTCTTTTCTCTGCCAACAGTTAGGTGTCTCTTTGGATGAGACTGTGACTGAGAGGGACTTGGATGACTTGCTCTGGGTCTTTGGCTGTGAATCTTCAGCTGTACGTTGATTGTTCTTCACTCACTGTTGTTTATATTTTAATGTTAATGTAAAATGCAACCTGCTTTAAAATGCTTTGAAATGCTACATTTTCAGGAGCTGATCGCAGAGAAGATGGGTGAGCGGGTGAAGGGAGTCATGGGAAGTCCTTTCAAGAGGACAAGCAAGTTCCTCTCACACCAGGTCTTTAACAGGTTGGTGTTCTCCGTTAAATTGCACTATAGCAAACAGTGAAGCACTATACAATGATAACAGACTGCACCGACGTGATAACACTTTTGTCTTTATGACATGTTTGGCTATGAATATCACTATATATATTGATTATCTGGTATCAACCGCAGCTGTACTTTAACAGACGTAAAATCACCACATTGCATAACAGACAGAAATGTACAGTACTAATTGTCTGATATAAATCCCTTGCTACTCGTGTTTGTGTTGCTTCAGAGCATTTTAAGTACTCTGTTTATTCCTATTGTGGTTGCATCCTGAAAGTCATTGGCTGTCATGTAATTAAGCCCTGCTACAAACAGTTTTGATGCCCACCAGCATAAAGATCTGCCTCAATTTATTATTTCAAATAAAGGATGTGCTGTACAAATTATCTATTTATGCAGTAGAAATGTGTTTCAACAAAGCCTTAGTGGCAAGGCAGGCATCTCTCTGGGCTGCTAAAAGTGGCACATGTTATCTTTATTAGCGCCATATCATTAACCTGGGTATCAGGGCTTCTAATGTCTAAAGTATTAGGTTTACTCTGACATACTTATTATGACATGCTTGGGGAAAAAAATGCTTGCTCAAACTTCTAATAAAGCACTTAGTAAGCAGGTTACTTTTGCATTAATCTAGTGACATGCTAAATATTGGGACCAGAGAATAATATGCCCTCAGTTAATCCCACATCTGTCTTTCTGGTTGCCCTTTGTCTCCAGCTATCACTCTGAGACCAACATTGTGCGATACATGAAGCGTCTGGAGAACAAGGACATCTCCCTGGTGCACAGCATGATACCACTGGTCAGTACGACCTGAAGGCAAACAAGATATTCATATTGTTAAAGTTATGATGTTTTAAAACGTTGTTTTATTCTTCAGGGCTCCTGCACCATGAAGCTAAACAGTTCTTCAGAGCTCATGGTAAGGTTTTCAATAGATCTGATCATGTTCTCATCTAATTCTAATCACAAGGCCTAGTTGTAATGAAGATGGTTTATTTGTTATCATGAGACCTTAGTATGTGAACAACTAAACAATCTCCAGGACAACTGCGGCAACTTTTCCATGGTCAAGATGAAGTGACTTTGGAAAACTCACTGCTGTCCTCTCGTCCTTTAGCCAATCACCTGGAAGGAGTTTGCCAACGTCCACCCATTCGTGCCTCTGGATCAGGCTGATGGCTACCAGAAGCTCTTCAGACAGCTGGAGAAGGACCTCTGTGAGTTGACTGGCTATGACAACATTTCCTTCCAGCCAAACAGGTAAGACCCACCTTTGTTGCAGTACAAACTTGCATATACTATATGCCACACATCATGAAACAGTGTTCACAACAGCAGCTCTTCAGCATGAATTGGTCCTTGAAATTTAAGGCATTTTCTACCAAAAACATTTAATTTAATTTAAAATTGCCCCTTCTTTTTAACTCCTGATGTCCTATAAGAGTCAACTGTTCTGGCCTTATAACCTGTAGTATATGTGATTATAATAATGCATTATTTACAGATCTGTCATCATTTACTCAGCTTCGATTAAAAGCCTTTTTTTGAGTGAACCCTTTTTAGTTTCAGACTGTAGTATCCAGTAGTCAAATGTTAGGAACTACATGCTTCATATTTCAGGTTTCAGCTGATAAAGCACACACCCACCTCTGTTGTCTATCGCCACTTATCAGCTGCAGAGGGTTTATGAATATCACATTGGCCTAGAGGGTAATCATGCTGCTAGCTTTTCATCCCTCTTGTCTCTCCTCTTTTGGTAATGTGTGCAGACTGTTCTTTGAACTGTGCTGAGGTGGGGAGGATGTGTGTAGGTGTATAGTACATGACCATGGTGTGTTTGCCTTGTCTTCCAGTGGTGCTCAGGGAGAATATGCTGGCCTGGCTGCCATCAAAGCCTACCTGAACTCAAAGGGAGAGAACGGGAGAAGTGTAAGTGTGCTGCTGTTGACAGAAAAAAAAGTCTAGTTGGACTGCAGTCATACCAAAAAAAGTGAACAGGATTTAATAACATTTGACTTCCTGGAGTCTGTCTGCACCACCCAGTTACAGGACTGTAGGAAGTCACTGCCCCGTCCAAAAAATAGTCTTGCCTAACCAACCGTAACAAACGAGAAATAACCTTTTAATAAGTGAGCCTTAGAGCAGCTGGTAGGCGGATTGTGTGACCTTTCAACAGAGTACTGAAATGTCAAAGTATAACTTTAACTTCCTCATTATTTGCATTAAAATGTACCTAAAGAGAGGATTAGAGGGGCCAAAGCATGAAAACCTGAAATGATTCTGAAAAGGGAAATTAAAATATATATGCTGGTGCACAAATGCAATTTAAAAACAAAACTTTAAAGAAGATTAGAGTGATTCTGAAGGGCAGTAAAACAATCATTTCATTGCTATTCTTAGACGCAGTTAAGGGTCCGATAGCTAAAAATGATTTATCACCGGTAGTTTCTTTCATTATGCTGACTGAACACCTACTGACAGAGGCTAATAAAGTACATACTATCAGTTTATTGTTCCCAGGCTACAAGAGGTCACTTCGACATCACACATTAACATGTTTCAAGCATTCTGGTTAGAAATTCCTTAAGTATCCTTTCGTACTTATTGGCAGTAGCTAGAGGACAAGTCGAGATAAGGCATACTCTCAGATTAAAGACTGGCTGACTAAAGTATTTTTTTCCTCTACTGTAAGCTGGCCTTTGTTTTTTAATGGCTCCCTCATTAGTACATCTTAGATAGTGGCCTGATCCCTTAAAACAGTCAAGGTCCAAACTAACAACCGTTTGTGCAAACAAAGGGGCTGCAAACGCTGTGATCCCACTATAGGCTACGTGCTTTCAAGATTCCATATTTGGAGGTTTTAAGACTTTGAGAACAGCAAGTCACCGCTGTGTGGCTCGCTGTGTTTTCCCAGTCAGTCAGTGCCCCAGTTTCCTTGTGTGACTACGTTGCAAAATGTCAGAAGTGTCAGCCTAATAAGGTATAAAATCAATTAGTGCCAGTGGGGGGTGTTGGCTGGATCAAAATTCAACCAAGAACAGTTACAGCATGTCCCCACACAGACTAAACCCTTAAAAGCCTAGCTATTTATGTATCAAATATTTTATTATCTATTCTACATTATAACAACTGCATGCAGGTAGTTATTAACAGTAGAGGGGCAAAGGCACCACTTGTGTACCGTTTGTCCATGTCCAGGAAGCTACAATTTCACAGTTCTTATTATGGTCTTAAGCCACAGTCGCCTTCCACTGGCTTCATCCAGTTATAAGTAGTTTCCCAGTCTTTGTTGTAGATTTATTACCTTTTCTTCGTGGTACTTTCCATCATATTCCACCTAAATCCTCATAGCTTGTGACTTTGTGGTGACACCCAGTTTCCCCCGTTGGGCATATCATAGCATCAACATCAAACACAGCCCTGTGATGACAACTTTTCTTGCTTTCTTCACAGCCATTGGATAAAAAAAATGATTTTAGAAAAACCTATGTCCTGTAGTACTTTCACTTGAGCCAATCATGGGACAAGGAATAAAAATGCTGTGCGATCTCGCATAAAGAGCGACACTTGGTCACCCTAGTCCACACGTACCTTTTGGCTTTAATAGATCAGCATCCTGTCTTAATATGTTATTGTACAAGAAAAAGGTTAACGCATGCTGAATTATATCGTTTCCATCCTGGCTACAAATACGTCACAACTTTTTCATACTCAATATTATCTTCTTTGCTCATCCAGGTCTCTGTCCTGCTACATTGATATTTTTCCTTTTACTCCAGGTCTGTCTGATCCCCAAGTCGGCTCACGGCACCAACCCTGCGAGCGCTCAGATGGCTGGCATGAAGGTTCAGGTGGTGGAGGTGGACAAGGACGGCAACATCGACATGGCACACCTCAAGTCCCTGGTGAGACTGTTTGCATTCCACTCATTTCACGCATGAGGATGATAATGTTGTATGACTTGCTTTGTCGGGTCTGAGAATGTCATAACCCTGATGATATCACAGGGGTTATCTCAGGATGGCCTTCAGACAGTTCTTTAACAGAAAGTCTGTTTCTGTCTGCTAAATCCTGCCCTATCTTCTAGGTGGATAAACACAAAGCGAGTCTGGCAGCCATGATGATCACCTACCCTTCTACCTTTGGTGTGTTTGAGGAGCAGATCAGAGACACATGTGATCTCATTCACGCCAATGGTGGCCAGGTGTACCTGGATGGTGCCAACATGAACGCCCAGGTGAGAGAGGAGCAGCGTACATGATGTAAAAATGTCTGAATGCTCTTCATGGAGAGAAATATTACTTGTGAAAACTGAAGGCTAATAGGATAAAGGTTTATAGATGTGTGTTATCATGCTGTAAATAGACCTTTGGCCTCTATAATATGCACATGATGGTTTTTATGCCAGTACCACCTCCACCAATCCCTGACAGGCTTACAGACCCTGCCCTCTCTGACTTTTAAGATGCAAACTTGCTCCTCTTTCACTGGAAGTGGGAATTACTCTTAAATAATTGGGCAGACCAAATTAAAGAGATTACTTTAGATATTCAAATGATTATCAGTAAGATTAATTAGGGTTTTTGCATGTTTGTGTTGTTACGAATAACAATGAAGTGCTGTGGTGTAATAAAACTTAAGTTGATGTTAATAGTTGAATGAAGAGCTCTTGGACACTTAAAACTCTATACATGTAAATGTTTTAAATTTGAAATTCTAAATGCTTAACAAAGCTACAACTGAAATCTCAATTGGCCTTCATTTAAGAGATCTTAAACAAATCTAGAGATAAATTAATTAGATTAATATCTGTTGTACATTAATTTTCTTATTTCTTGGATTTAAGGTGCGTGTATATAGCATCAGTAGCACCGGTCTATAATGTAAAGTTAGTCCAAATTAGCAGTCTGGTCTGAGATCACCATCAGACAAATGTTGTTAATATTGGTAGGTTTCCCATTTTTTTTCGGTCCTATTCGGTAATCTGTCTTAAAAGTAACCATAGTAACCATAATGGGTAAATTTGCCAGCCACTGTGGGCAGCAGACAGTTCATTTTCCTGTTTTCCAGGTTGGTCTATGTCGTCCTGGAGACTACGGCTCCGATGTGTCTCATCTCAATCTGCACAAGACCTTCTGCATCCCTCATGGTGGAGGAGGACCTGGCATGGGGCCGATTGGAGTGTAAGTAAGAGGGAAAGAATATAGGCTATGAAATTCACCGGAAGAACTGGAAAATGCTAAATTGGTTTGCGCATCCATACATTTTAACGTTTATGCTGGAGTGCTAAATGTAATGTGATCCTGAAAGAAGAAAACCAATTTAAGATTATTAAGGTTATATACACACACCTACATGTGTATTCTGTATAGGCAGGTCAACATAATCAATCAATCAATCAATCTGTGCTTCAACAGGAAGGCCCACCTTGCCCCCTTCCTGCCGAGCCACCCGGTGGTCCCAATGCATTCAGTCAACACGGGCAGCTCACTGGGCACCATCAGTGCCGCCCCCTGGGGCTCCAGCGCCATCCTGCCAATCTCTTGGGCGTACATCAAGGTCAGAGCAGATAATCAGTGACGTTCATGTTGTTTTATCTTGACAGGATGACATGAAATGTTTCTTTGTTTGAAAAGAAATACCAGAGCAAGGAGAAAGACACAAGACATTTGATAGTATTAAAAGTAATAAAAACACACTGATAGAAGAGGCTGAGTAGGATGGGAAAATAGTTTTGTCACATTACATTAATATTTTAGCAAAACCTGTGCTACATGACCTTCCTAAATTAGATTAAATTTTGTTTTGCCATCGAATCAGAATTGTAATCAATATGTCCAGTGGCTGTTTTAATAATAATAATAATAATTTCATTATCAGTGAAATTTCCAGCTAACATCCCTCATGTGTTCTGTGTTTAGATGATGGGAGCCAAAGGACTGCGTCACGCTACAGAGGTGGCCATCCTCAATGCCAACTACATGGCCAAGAGGCTGGAAGGTCACTTTAAGGTCCTTTTCAGAGGCAGGAAAGGTACGGCTGTGAAATCTTAATTTCCATCAGCGTATGTTGATGTTCTTTCTACACTTTCTGGGAATGTCTGCAATCTTTTTTTTTTTTTTTT